ACTTTGCAAATGATCATGGTGTTTGAATTCAGAAACGTATCTTTTTTGTGTGTGAAGTGTTTAAGGAAAACCTTTAAAGATAATGGTTTGTCATTTGGGGACTTGTATGGTTGATTTGGAATGATTATTCACAGAAGCAGACAAACATAAAATGTATGCCATAAACTGCATTATACCTTATTGGGTGGTATGAGATCAAAATGATCCCAAACTTTAGAACGTTGCTTATTGGTGGTACTTGCCATGAACCTTGCCAAAATACTCTCACTCTCACTCTCCAAATCTCTATCTCCTCACAACCCCATTTTGAAGCATAATGATGCATCTTATATAGCTGGTATGGCACCAAACCACACAAATCTGTAAAACCTGTCAATGGCTCAGAATGCATTGAAACGCCACGAGTGTTGGCACACACTGAAAGACTATGAGCCAATGAAAAGCTTCGAAACATTTTGAAGGAATGAAGCGCGAAGCGAAACAGCGACGACGTTCGAAGCTTCGAACGTCATCGGTCACGTGACACTGGTGTTTTAATACAAGCTCCGACACAGCGTTTCGAGTCACTCCGCTTCAGGACGAGTGACACAAGCTCCGAACCCTCGGTATCATTTGCCCATCACTACAGTGGATACAAGACAAAAAAACAAAAACAACAAAAAAAGAATGTCACCATTTAATCCCAGTCAATTGATTTTTAAAACTGTCCATTTGTAAAGTACAAAGCAGCCAACAAATGTATTTCAAACATCATTCTTAAAGAAGGTTTCCTTTAAATGAAAAGGTTTATTTTCGTTACAAACATCAAATATTCTAGACCTGTCAACTTTTACTTTTACGTTTTTAAAAGACCTGATGACATTTGAATTAACATTCAAATTAAAATTCAATTAGGCTATGTCAGTAATGAAAGATATGTACGGAGATATTTAAGTTTCATCTACTAACTTTATTTAACTGAGTTAAAGGGTTTTGTTTACTGTTAAACACAATATCTAGCTATTTCCTTTTTAAATATTTATTGCCCCATATGAATATAACAGGCCTACTCATTTATGGTTCCAATGTTTTAAAGACACAAAGGGTTATTAATGGCCATATAACAGACCAAACATTTTACAATTATAATTAGCATAATTATAATTCATAATTTCCTAATTAAAATAAGTCTGTTTTTAGTCAATTACACCACAAGACCAGATTAATTAGAAATATCTAGGACTAACAACACTTAAATTTATTTTGATGATTAAGTATATTAGCACTGGATAACATTTTATTGCATTCATCTATATAGGACTGTCCATCTTGGGGTATCTGCCCAACTCTTGGCACCTTCAGACTAAATTCAGTGATTTGTGACAAAAGGGAGGCCCCAAATTAAAAGTCCAAAATCACTTAAGCTGATAGATATCGTATTTTATTTGTATCTTTCTGTCAAACACACACACACACACACACACAGCCTACAACCACACAAAGCGGTTGATTAGTCTTTTTCCCACATAAAATGTGCTGTGGTCTTTGACAGCTGCAGTTACTTTCTTGAAAACTTAATTAAGCAAATCTCCCCTAGTTTTACAGGAATTAAACCATTTCTGAGGCTGAAAACAAGGCTTTATGCTTTAGCAGTCTTATCTTTTATCCATCCAGCCAACTTTCCACGCACACATTATAAGCCTTTTTTATCCTTACTTTATTTTCTTTCTAATTTGCATAGTATTAATCCTAAAAAGCCTCTAGTGTAACATTCTGAAACATTAATTTGAGTTGACTGTCAGTGGGTAAAGGCATAAATTTGTCTTCTTGACTTGGATTAACATTGATCACCATTAATAAATAATGTGCTTTTGAGGTATCAAAGTTAATATTCAGATAACTGACAAATTAAGGGACAATAAAATTATAATAATAATAATGGTATGGCCACTATGTGTGTGACTATAGATGGGTGTTAGTAAGGTGTTGGGCCACCAGGTGCCACCAGAACATCTTTGGTGCATCTTGACATGGACTCTCCAAGTCTCTACTGGAGGGACAAACACCATTCTTTCAAAAGATATTCCCTTATTTGGTGTTTTGATGATGGTGACGGACATGCTGTCTAACACGTCACTCCAAAATCTCCCATGGGTGTTCAACTGGACTGAGACCTGGTGACTGTGAAGGCCCCAGCATATGATTCACATCATTTTCATACTCATCAAACCATTCAGTGACCCCTCGTGCCTTGTGGATGGAAATGTTTCATCACAGAATGAAGGAGGACGATCTCTCAGAGCAACTTTGTTTTGATCTGCAGTGACTATTCTATGGCGACAAGGACGTAAACCAGTCTCAAAACAGCAGCTGACAACCTCGGGGTCCTCGAGGTTAGTAGGCGTTCTAGAAGTTTCAATTGTATCACATTCTTTATTAGCCAATCGAGTTGTCATGGATGTGTAGGTGTTCAAATATCCAATTTGTCAGAGCACTTTAATAACTTTCTCATTCCCTTCTGCTTCAGATGGTTCAAATTCTCAGCTCACTTTTGACCTTGGAAACATTTTTTTATAAACATGAATTCATGATCAAAATCAATATTTATTGGCCAAGTGGAACACAAAGAATCTGACTGCAGTGCAGTGGCTCTGAGAGTGCTTTTGTGAGGGACGATCAAAATTCCAGGGTAGCTATTAAATGGACTACACCACATTTACCAGACTCCAGTAAAAATGTGGTGAAACAGACCTGCTACTGGCACAAAATAGCTCAGCCAGTGAGAGGTTTCTTGTTAACCAATCTCAGTTAATGTGAATGGGCCATGCACCTGTTCTTTCTTAGCACATCAAAAGCATCTTTGAACCTTTTTCTGTGAAGCCAGAAAAAGCCGACCATTGTGAGTAAACCATTGACTACAGACAGAATTGTTTAGAAAAGTAGCTATTTCAAGCTTCTAAGTTAACAGTACTTCACAACAGAGATGACAAAGCCCTCCTGGGACTCCAGACCAAAGTAAACCACAGATAAGGACCTTGTTTTAAAAATCTTTTTTGAATTTCTTTAGGTCAGCTGGCACTTATTCTGTACCTATGACAAGACTGGAAGAGTAATTACACTTTTCAAAAATCTTAATGACTTGTGAAAACTAATAAGCCCTCACCAGGAGATAATTAGGATGTAGTCTCAGTACCATTCTCTGCACACACACACACACACACACACACAGTTTCAAAGAACTTTGTTCTGGTCAAATTAAGTTTGCCTCCAATTAGGAGTTTTATCATGGGGACTCTTAATTGGGTGTTGAATGCCTGTACACTCGCATAAACTCATGAATTTGACTAATGATGCCCACTAGGACCTGAACTGTCAGGGATGGTGTTAAATGCTACCACCTGCTGGTATTAAGACTTAAGTTATACACCATGTAGATGCCAAAAGACAAATAACGGCTGCAAGATGTTAAACAGAAGTAGAAAACCACATTCTTGCTACATAAAATCGAATTTACTTTTTCATCAATTTACATCTACTCTTCACATTTTTCTTGGGATCTACAGATGTGTTAAGTGAATACCAGTATTCACCTTTTGGTTCAACTGCTCACATATGCAACTTATGATCAAAGGCTGCAAGTAGAAAGAGCTTCATTTTAAGGGGGCACAAGCCAAAGAGAACAGGAACAACTGACCTAGTGACCTCCTCACATTTTCCTGTGAAACCCTTGAGGCGTCTCGACCTCCAGCTTGTGAAACTTGTTTTGTTTATAGTATGAAATACACACTGGTACCTTTTGTTGTGGTATTGGCTCTGTATTTGAGTACACTGAAATGAATCAGTGACTGCGATAGTGCTCACTTTCATCTAGAAGATGAGGGTGTTCATTTTAATACCGGGATGAACACTGCAGCCTTTTTATACATAGTCTCAATTTTTGAAGCGGGGGGTAAATGACAGGGCTTCAATTTCTTCTGTATACTACCAACCCCATATAGAGGCAAACACTAAAAACGCAGGGCATCTACCCCTGCGTTGGCTTTCCATGTCCAGATTTTGAGGCTTCTGCTGCCACCCACATACACCGATACTAAAATGAATTTTGGGTGTACTGCTCAAAAAAATTACATTACAGTAATTCAACAGCACAATTTCTCTTCAGAAACATTGTGCCAGTGAATCTGGATAATCCACTGAAACTGTACATTGTGAAGTTTGTAACACCTGCATCAACAGAGTACTTGTTTCATCTATGAACCTGAGGGCACAAAGCAAAAAGTGGAATGACTAAAAATTCACCCCGTTTCATCATCCACATCATCGCTGTTTTGACCTAAACCAGGCAGTTTGAACAGCTGCCTCGTACATAAATAGAGGCTGAGGATTAACCAGAATCTCTTAGTGTTTGTGAGGCAGGGGCAGTGGAGGTGCCTGGATCTGGGGCTCAGATCCTGTCGGGAAAGCCTCCATAAGAGCATGTTAGTCGCAGCATGGCACAGTCCACTCTGACACAGACAGAGCTGGGTAAACACTTTCTGGTCACACAAACCACATGGGACTCCCAAGACTACCTCCCTGCAATATCCACTCCAAAAACCTGATACAGTTCTTGATGCACAGTATGCAACCTGGGTCAGTTTATCCACTTCACTCTGAGGCTTGGGGAAACAAACTTGACTGAAAAAGAGACAAAAAAAAAAAATTGCAGCAGACGAAGCCTCAACTCACTTTCATCTTGCATAATTAGGAAATCAATGCTGTATAGTCTTCCATTTCAAGGCCACTGAAGGGCAGAGAACCAACAAAAAGTGAGGCGACTGCATCCTCAGAACACACAATCTTAGCCTGATTATAGTCTTTATGAGAAGACATGAGGCTGAAGCAAAGACAGGCTGATTTATGGAGCTTTGTAATTAATTAATAAGCATGTGTTTTGTCTGTGAATGACTTCTTGTGACACATCAATCATCAATGATGCACAGCAATGACAGCGTAACAACAAACAAAATAAAGACTGGTGGTCTGTGGTGAACTGAATTTATGGCCTGGATCTCAAACACAGGTGATGTACAAGGGGGAAAAGTCTTTTCACCATCTTCAGATTTTCACATATTTACTGTTCATCAGTCACAAAATAACTCAGGTCAGTCGACAGTTTGTGTTTGTTGACACAAAGTAGCATCAAAAGCTGTAGGTGTCCTCAGGTAACTCTCCCAGGAGTTCATCCAGGTCATCATCTGCACAACAGACACAACACAGATTAAACCATATGTACTGACATGGAGGTAAACTAAGAAATAATAAGAACCAAGAGGGACTGATGGATTATTTTTCACAGAAATATGTAATACTAAGAGTTTCTGGAGCATTTTTGCCTTTAACGGACAGACGAGAAACAACAGGGCAGAGAGGTCCCCAACTGGAAATGAACTGGGGGACACTGTGGTTGTGTGGTCTGTGCTTTCACCATTTGTTGACAGTTTAATGTTGCTTTATCTATAGAACAAGGTAGCACACAGTGTTTCAACAACAATACTTGCTCTCACACAGCCACTTAGTATTTGTATAATATCAATATAAATCACCTTAAACAAAACGATCATTACTAGAGCAGTCAACCCACAGTGCAGAGAAACAGCTCAGTGATTTGTTAAGTGTTCAAACCGTTAGTCAATGGTTCTGACAATTAATCCGCTCTAAGTCAGATGCTCAGTTAATTATTTGGATCTTTTCCTGGTTTCAGCTTCTCAAATGTGTGGATATGCTGTATGTCCAATTGCTGTAGACTTCTAGATGGACAAAATAAGACATTCGTGATTGGCATGTGTTCAACATTTCATCCAGTGATTAACCAAATAAACAAACTCCAGATAAATCGAAAAGAAAATCCAATCATGGTTGCAGCCTTATTTGGGTAACCTATCAAGTGGAATTTGGATGGAAGTGTCTACTTCGACAAAGCAGAAAGTATAAAAGTATACTTTACAGGAAATAGGAAAAGGATAATGGGAACAGAAGGCTTTCAAGTCACGCTGTTCATTGGTCGCACACTTTTAATGCTCTTTGTAAGTCCAAGACTGTTTCTTTGCAGCAACTATGCACTAAATTAAAAGTTAAAAAAGAAAATACTGGTTAGTTGCTGCTCTAGGCCAGAACCTCTTAATGTTGCTACATTTGGACTGGGTTCTGGGCCACAGAGTGAAATGTTAATGTCTCAAGACCCAGGATGTTATGAGAATTCATCTTCTTCCTCTCCCTCATCACCAATATTATTACAACAATACAAGGGGTTCCACCTGCATCCCAGCCTGGGTCCTGTGGTGCTGGGTTCCCAGTAGGCTCTTGATGGCCTCTACTGGAGCCGACTCTAGCGTCTGCTGGGGCTTCAGGGTCTTTGCCATGCTCTGTGCATTGTCTTGCTTCTTCTCTCTCATCATCCTCTTCGTCAAACACCAGCTGCATCCGAGACACCGGCTCCTGGAGGATGGTGCCAGACTGAGCGGCCAACATCGGTTCCTGGACAGAAACCAAAAAAAATGCTTTAAGTAGACAGCTGACAGGTTGACAGAGTGTTTCTGGTCGACAGATTTAGTATTTGTTGGGATGCAGTTGAATTATTTTTGTTTTCAGCTGAAAGCAGTGGTGCTCACCAGGACCAGCGGGGGAAGCTGGGTGGAGGACAGGCGGACTCCATCTGGGGCATAGATCCTCAGCAGGTTGTGGGATGTCACGTTCAGGTAATGGTTCCGGTGGGAGGGAGAAAATACACTCACCTGTAACAGAGTGTGAAAAAAATGGACGACTCTGACAAACCACAAATATATTTTTAACCGCTACACATTTTAAGTTGAGCAAAAATGACTAAAGCTCTGTCAACATCACAAGTGAAATTAAAATTTTAACTGGTGGCGAGTCTTACTTGTTTAAGCAGCAGTACAGCTCCGAGCTTGAGCTCTTCCACTCTGTCCTCCAGGAGACACCGGTGCACAGTCCCCTGAATCTCCCCTTCAGTCCACAATATTAAGAAAAACAGAGCGATTTAAGGAAATGATTAATCACTATTTTCATATTAAGAATTAAAAAAGAAGTAATGTGAAACAGGTCATGAATACCACAGTTCCCCTCAGCTCTCTGGAGAATTTGAGTCTTCCAGCTCATCGTTTCATTTTACAGGCTGTAACTTACTCTCTAGGTTCACAGCAAAGTTTCTACTCGCAGGAGACAGCCATGTTCAAAAGAGCTCTTCTAATCCTAGTGCACACTACATACCCAGCACCAGACAGCAGCCAGACACAGTTAGCAAGTAGCTGGTGAACATGATGGATCATTTATCGGTGAAAGAGCTGGATATTTTGATCAGGAGTTGTGGGACACCAAAGAGGGATAAAACAGATCAGACCAGGACCAGAAACACAAGCTGATAATACACAGCTAAACATGCTAAAGAATGGGAGAGCATTCGTATGGAAGCTCAGTGCACGAGTTAAATGATGGTTACCCATTATTTGGCCCTAAAATGGGGGGTATTAGGCCACACCATCATAAAGCAACACCATTTTCCAGACCTAACCTACCCTAAAAACAGTGCATCCCCAAATCCTATCCTCACCCAAGCACAGAGCAGATATGTGCATTGTATTTGCTCAGGTTAAGCCGTGGCTGGCCCAAGTGCTTGGTAGGCAGTCGCCTCTGAGAGCCAGGCCCGCTCAGTTGTCCATACACCGACACGGCTATACCAAGATTGTCAATCAGAAGAAAAATAAACCACTAACAACCCCACGGAGTCAACAACTGTATTATCACCAACGCAAATGAATGATTATGTCCCAGTGTATCTGCTGGATGAGTAGATAAGTAACTGCTTGCTAACAAGTTCACCATATCATCTCTAAAAAGATAAGCTAAAATCGATAAACCAGCTGATATTAACTTCTTGCAAATATATCATTACTGGCATTATTTTCATTTGATGAGTGACAAGAACTTGATCTCGTTGTTAAACAACTAGAACAACACAAATCTTGGTCACAATTAAAAAATAAAAAAAAAACACCTGAAATGTCTGATCTGTTTCAAGATTCTTTATGTTGTGTAATGCAGTGCATATACATAAATTATTAGATGTTTAAACCATTTAATATCAGTATCAAACATCCAGTTAAAGATGGCTGATTGTTTAAAGCTTTGGTAAGCTGCACCCAAGAGACCAAAGTCTTTGGCAGGCCTGCAACTTATGATGAAGTTCATTTGATGAAACACTCCATTATGATCTCCAGATTAACTGCTTATTCACCAGGCTCCAGAGTACACTGTAACAGTTTCAAATTGTCCAGTGGTTCTAACCAGTGCAGACTGGGAACACCCGACAAGTCCTGCAGTGTGGGAGATGCTCCGACCCAGTTGTCAGCCATCACAGTTTGGCTCTTGTCAAAGTCACTCAGATCCTTACGCTTGCCCACTTTTTCCTGCTTCCAACACATCAACTTCGAGGACTGAATGTTCACCTACTGCCTCCTACACCTCACACACTGACAGGTGCCGTTGTAATGAGATAGTCAATGATCTTCACTTCACCTATCAGTGGTCCTAATGTTATGGCTGATCGGTGCACGTATAAGAACATTTCAATCAGGTACCAAGTAATAATGCTGTTGATTCAATGATGCTATTAATTGTATGTCATTCTCCAGTAACATCACTTAACATCTAATTTTTTTTATTTAAAATTTTGCTCCTCTCAGCTATGAAAAATCAAAAAGATTTTACATTTCTAATTATGCATGTAATGGATAAAGCAGAATATCACTTCATTAGAGAAGCTGCAACCATTAAACATTTGGCGTTTTCGCATGATAACAAAAATAAATGATGAATCAAATAGAAAACTGGTTGTCAAATACATTTATGTTCATCAACAAACCCGCTAATCACCTGCACCAGTACAGAATCAACAAAAGCTTCTGAAACGATTGGCCACTGGAGAAAAGCTGCAAACCTTCCAGCTGGTGGGAGGCCCATTACTCACAGAACATTCCCTTGTGGTGTCAAAAGCACTTAATACCCACCCACTGGTGGTGCCAATCTACTGCAGTTGAATCACTAACAAGCACTTAAGTCTGGTGTTGAGTACAACATCCACTCCTGAGTTTTGACAATCTGTACGCCTCGTGTGGCCGCTCTCTGGGGGCCATGGCAACCAACTCAGCTTAGAGACAGAGACTCGAGGCTGAGCAGAGGAGGAAGAGAGTCAAGGAAAGGAAGAGGAGGCAGCTTCCTGCTGTAAGGGCAAGACAGATGTGAAGTTGACCGGATGTATACTATGCATATACTTAGCGTGTGTGTGTGTGTGTGTGTGTGTGTGTGTGTGTAAAATCAAGCATGTTACAGTGGCTGTACTCTGCTCTTGCACCATGTGAAGCTCTATCAGGCAAGTTCTCCGTGAGCAAATGTCAAATGTGACGCAAACACTCTCAGGTCCCCAACCACCTCCCTCCCTCTTTTAATCAACATCATTTAACAGTCTCTATTTTCTCTACCACAGTGTACAGCTTGACTTTTACCAGACCTTTCTTGTGTGCATTGTATTACAAATTGAAGCACACTTCAGCAATAAGTAAGCGTGTGTACGTCCAGTACCTGTCGGGTCTTTAAAAACAGCCTTGGCATCAGCGTGCGTGTGAATGATGCTCTTCAGAAGCACGGCCATATTTGGCACTTTGTTTTTAGCCAGCTGTTTCAGGGCAGCCTGCATAGACAACAGAAAACAAACACACACATTAGCTTCTTCTGTTAGCCTGGTGAAACAAAAAACCCAGTGTTACTCAGTAAAAATGCTATTAGTATAACTAAACATTTAGAAAACTGATGCATGGCTGAAATTTAATCTGATATTCTCTTCAGTAATTTTTGAAGCAAAACAATGGTTGGTACAACTTTGCAAGATGGAAGATTCAAAGGTTTTCTTTATCAACTCAATATATTGGGACTGAACTGATGGTCAGAGAAAAGGAATCTGAACACATCAGCTATGCCTTTGTATCATTTAATGGGCCTTTTTTTATTTTGACATTTTATGGACAAAACCATCTGTCATAAAACAATCGTCATTGCAGCAGTTGGTCGGCAAGTGTGTCGTGCAGCTCACGGTGCATCTTCTGCGAATCTGTTTGCTTCCACAGTTCTACTGCCAGGAAGAGCACGAACGTGTCGACTATTCGGTGAAAAACTTACATAAAGGCAGTGAAAACTGCCTTGAAGACAAATTGGAGATCATATTTTAAACTAATTCAACAGCCTTCCCCCTCTAGGTGTGATATCACCACTAAAGCTGCTTAATGTTTCTCTTCAGAATCAGCTTTATTGGCCAGGTGTGTTGGACACGAGGAATTTGACTCTGGTACAGCGGCTCAATGTGTATGTAGCAAAAGGGCAAGTAAACAATATACCAATATAAGGCTGTATAATATAACAATATAAACAAAGCAATAAACAATGCAAACAGACAAAGAAATGTTCATTAGGATACAAGATAAAAATAAGAGTAAAAATAGAGACCAATGTACAGTATTTCTCATTTTCAACAATTTTAACAAAGATTCAAACAAAACAATATTTTGAAAAGGATGAATGAAATTTAAAAGGTTAATCTACAGTAGGTGAATCATGACCCTGTCGCCGGTTCACAGTTTGTCCTTCCTTAGACCACGTTTAGCAGGTTCTAACCAGTGCAGACCAGGAACACCCAATAAAACCTGCAGTGTGGGAGATGCTCCAACCCAGTTGTCACCCATCACAGTTTGGCTCTTGTCAAAGTCACTCAGATCCTTACGCTTGCCCATTTTTTCCTGCTTCCAACACATCAACTTCGAGGACTGAATGTTCACCTGCTGCCTCCTACACCTCACACACTGACAGGTGCCGTTGTAACAGTCATCAGGGGATATTTGTTTCCTGCACAATGACCAAACATTTTAGCTAAATGTAAATTTAACTGACTTTACTCTGCTCCCAAAACATTTTTTTTCCACAAAATGCTAAATTTCAAGAAAATTACACAGTGAAAATGCTACATCCGCCATGTTTCTGCCACCTCTGGTGGCGTGGTCCTTTCACCAGGGAGGATTCACCAACCCAAAATATAAATACAATATTAATCCTCCCTTTTATAAGGTAAACTAAATACTAACCTATTATGTCTAACAATGCAACCCTGTACCAAACTTTGCTACCATCCCTTTCACTGCAGGCATGTCTGATCAGTTTTGTTCCAGCTTGTTCTGTGGTAATGGCGTGCAGCAGCCTTGTGACAGTCTTCCTCTCATCCTACCCGAATCCTTTATCTATTCCTCTTTTTCCCCCCCATCAGATGTGGAAACTCTTAACTAGAGCAACAATATCAGAGGGAGCACGATCGTTTTTTTGTCTTTTTTTCCCCCACTGCTTCCTGACTGTTCAGCAAAACACACTTCAGATTACTGACTAGAGTGTTTGGCACCAACTTCCTCCAGCCCTTACTAAGGCTGAGAATGCCATTCTGAAGACAACAAGTCTGAATCTCAGCTGAGCTGATAAAGCTTGCAGCTTTGCCATCTTATCTAAACCATGCAACCGTTTATCAATTTCTTCAGCTGCTGTCCACAGGCCTCCACATTTAAACATCCCAAGTGTGAGATTTTACTGTGTGGCCACATCTCTGCCCTCACTGTCAGCCTGTCAGCCACTTGTTTCTTGCAGCGCTCTGATTCTGTCATCTCTAATGGCCTGGACTCTGCCAGAAATGTCGTCAATTGACTACGCACAGATTTTCTGGCTACAGCCATAAGATGCATTACTGTCACTTTGACAACCACTCCTAGGACTTGTTCAGTTTGAGAAGCATCATCCCTTCCAGACATCACACCTGCTCTGACCTTCGCCTTGAGTAGCCTGTCAGACATGCCAAAATCACATTTTGTTTTTGGCATACTTTAGACATCTTCCTGCAGTTTCCGAGTTACATCAGAGTAAGGACCACACTGCAGATGGCCTGCCAGTAACTGCATACCCTAACACAGACTAGCTAGAAGGCTCTCAGCTGCCTTCGCAGCCCCAGCATCAAACTCTGCACCAGTGTTCCTGACTAAACACTGAAAATGGGATAACTGATAACGTTAACATCCCAACTTCCCCTGCCATGAATGGACCTCTGACTGCCACTGTGAGAGCTTTCTAACCACACCTGCCATTCATGTCATTTGGAAAAGGCATTGTTAGTGTAATCTTCCAGAATATCAACAAGACGTAAGGCACAAAATTATCCTACTAATATGAGGGCTCCCCACTTTGCTCCATTACTTCATAAATGCCTGGTCTTTGACAATATGGTGTTCACACAGAAAGCAACAGCCAGCTCTCCACCACAGCTATTTCCTATGTCTTGTATCATAACTCTAACTGTATCAAATGTGCACTGAACAGAACCTGATGCTTGTTCTCTTAAACGTAAGTGCAACCTTGTGCCATCTTTCAAAAGTATCCCTGCAGCACCAGATTTATGCCCATGCTCTGTAGCAGCATCGGTACACATATCATTTTCTGACAGCAGAGTATCCTGCACACACAGCATGTGCAGGCTTGGGTAAAAGTCTACTATCATTCCAGCTCAGTGATATGAGCTTTAAAACCAGCATGAAGCTGAACTTTCAAAGCAGGATTTCAAGTTTTCTGCTCCCTGCAGATTTGTAGCATCTAGAGAGCACACACCCTGTTCCTTCACAAACTTAAAAAGAAAAACTAGATATGCTGCTTGATCTGTCTGCCAAACAAATTCACAGAAATGGGGCGTTTGACCACCAAAATCGAATCAGTTCATCCTTGTGGACACTCTAGAAATTCCATCAAGCCATTCCTGACATACCACGTTCAAATGAGCCGGAAGGACGACCAAAAAAACATAAGGCCTCTGGCAGCGGCTATCACGGACATGGAGGCGTTAAAAATAAACAGAAAAACAAAAGGAACAAACTAATAATCCAGCCACTCATGGTTATACACAAGACTTTGGTGATGGTGTGTTTAAAAATCCTGTTTGCAGGTGAATTTGGGGGAGCAACCACTTCACAAAAGTATTCAGAGCTGATTTTCTATGGTGTCAACACAATTCGCCAACAAAGGACACAGTGATGTCGAGATAGGGAGTGGCTACAATTTGGAGTGACATTTCAGTGGAAGAGCACAAAACCCCTTCTGAGACTCGGGTCAAATACAAATGGAAGCCATTTTCCTTTCAGGTGGGGATGAAGTCCAAAATGAGAGCAGCTTTCAGCAAAGTTTATCAAACCAAAACAAGCAGACAATGATTGATGAACCCCTAATGTTTCACAGTGATATCCTCATTACACAGATATATATATATACACACACACACACACACACACACAATGATTTTAGTGTTTGTAGTTTTTTTTAAATTGAAGTTTTATATTTCAGTCCTGCGCCCTTCTGCCCCATTGTGACCACACTGCCAGTAGAAGGCTTGCCCTCCCTGGCAGTATTGACTGTTGGGATCATCCGTTCTCTTTGCTACACTAGATGCAACATGCCATTGTTCAGTCAACAGAAGAGGGGAGGGCTGTGTCTTAATGTGTTTATTCAGGCAAACAGGGATTTTCCAGAAGCTGAGGTTCACATAAATGGCTTAACTTGAAGCAGCTTAGGCGGCGTCCTGCCAGTGACTCCGTGCATGTCAATGGAGCCGGTGACAAGCAAAAACGCTGGCAAGATATTCCACAGAGGTCAAAATCAAAACACAAAGAATTACAGCAGGGTCTCCATTAGAGTGACTGATGACTGATCATACTGTTTTTAATTACAAACACCTCCAGTACAGCACCATCATTTGTCCTGATTATGCCACTGGACCTCCAGCGGTGACAGTTTGTTACGATGCAGGATAAATAATAAAATAAAGTGCCTGACCTAGATGTCTGTGCACATTAGCAGAGATGGCTCCGCAGCCCTCAGAGCGGTGGGGCAAAATTTGTTTGAGCATGTAAGTGAAACACTCCACACCTGTGACCTGTGCGGTTTCTACTATGAAGTCTATTAATACCTATCTAGTCTATTGCTCTTAATATTTTAGATTTAGTGCCCACAAGTCCAAAGTAGACATTTTGAAGAGATGTTTTACTCTGAGGAACTCAGAATGTTCATAATCTATGATTAATAAACTAACTTTGATTCCAGGCATTAAAGACATTGCCCTGGCCCCTTTGTGTGCTAATAACAACTGACAGACTGTGTCTGAACTGTGAACCCCCCACCACCCCCCACGTTGATCATATATAATGTGTATTTTAATGTGTGAGCCATGGTGGAAAGCTGAAGTTATGGACTGCAGAAAATTAGCTTAAGACAAAATTAATCTTTTCCTGTGAATAGTCTCACTCAGCTCAGAGCACTCCCAAAAGAACCAATAGGAACTCACTGTCATGTCCCAGTCAGTCAGAGGACTGCAACGCACAGGCTACCATCCAATCAGGGCCCAAGTCGGCATGACTCGGCACGAGTCACCGCTTACCTTTGTCTCAGCACAGAACAGAGAACAAGAACAAAGTTTTGAATCTGTGTGCGTCCCATCCATGTCTCGTCTTTTTGCGTTAAATTCATCTTTGAGCAACGTACACTCACATCAGTACAAGAGGTTTTTCTTATTTAGCAACGTTATAGTGATTTCTGACTCCTCCTAGTGCAAGCCGGCAGACAAGCCGACCTGAAGTTGAGCATGTTAAATCTGAATCTGTCCTCAGTCAAAGTTTTTACAACAAAAGAAGCTTTTTGCAGCAAAGTCGAAAGTGACTTTTATTTAAGCTGAATCTTTGTTAAGCTCTATAGACACCATCAGAACGATCCTGTTTAAAGAACTGGCCACAAACTGAGAAGCAGCTGCCCTGAAGAGCGACAACAGATTTGTCCTGAGCCCCAGCTCAGGACCACCTCAGAACTCCAGACAAAGCTCAACTCTGGCCCAAAAGGGCCCTAGCCCAGCACTTCTCCTTCCCTGGCCATGTGAGCCTTGCTAAAAGATAACCCAATGACAAAGGATGTGTAAATAATAATTTGACATCACCTTTCGAAGCACCATGACCACACTGTAGGAATGCAGAAAGCACGACGGGTTCCTCTCATCCAGTCCCATCTCTGCCTTCATTGCTGCCCAGGCACCGCCACGGAACTCGTCTTCATCAGTCTGCGAGCTGGAACCCTTTAAATCAAATCCAGCCATTTACACACTCATAAAAAAGCAACTGCTATGCTGATGTGCCTGTTCTGCTCCTGTAGTGACCTCACACTGCTCTGTGTGCACATCTAATATTATTTTAAACGGTTTGTCTGATTACACTGTGCTCGGCTTCTTGTTACAGTACTCAGATGGTCAGTGCTGCAATCAGATTGTGTGAAAATTCATTTCACACTGCAAGCTGGACCATTTCAGTGTCTAGTTTTGAAAGAACAGCAGCACCAATGGAAGGGAAATTCAGTGTTTGGGAAATCAAAACCTCATGTCAGAAATATCAAAGCATCTTGTATTCACAAAATAGTAAACCCAGACACATTTACTATCAGCCACTACTGGCAAGCCCAGACAAAATTCATGTTCAAAACAATCAAAGTCCTGTCAGCTGCACACAGAAAAATGAATAGTTATTGCTCCTCTGCTCTGCACAAAAAAAATGGAAAATGTGGCTGTGACCTCTGTTTGGCTATATATTGATCCTCTTGTCATAACATGAGGAAATCATTAATTCTGTGAACAAGGCTCCAGACTAACTTTTCCCACCAGTAGCACCAGCACTCCTTACTGAACATTTAAGAACACCAACACAGTTTCTAGGAACACCACTTAATTCAACATGCAACGCAACACATTCATTATTTTTGTTTTAACCATAGCTATATTAGTGATAAATGTTTCGGTAACAATTAATTTACAGAAATAAGAATGCGCTGTTTTATTTTAAAAGAAAAAGTCGTACAGCGAACGAAGTTTACGTTTCGATGTCAACATCTTCTCTAGCCGCTCCATTGGTGGCATCATCAATTCCTTCAGCAAAAATGACAATATCTGTAACTGTCATGTTCAGTTCAGAAAAAAATCATTAGCTTAAGTGCTATATTACATAATTGTTCTGAAAAATGTTTTCTCATATTACAATCATTTTGATCCACATCAAGCTAAAAGAAGCTTTCATGAGTTTGGTGCAGATTTCTGTCTTGGGCAGTTCTTTCATTACCTGGCTTGGCAGTCGGGCCACAGCACCATGAGCAGGAGCCTGAGGAACAGAGACCACAATGTCGTCCAGGCTGTGACCCTGAGGCTGAGAATTGACAAAATCAATTGTTTTGTATTAGCACCATAGTGAAAAAACAACCACATAACTGATAGATCATTTTATTAAGAGATGAAAATCACACAACAGCAGGATTGATTCTGATGACAGCAACTATTCAGGTGAGACTGCTCTGGCTCTTTCATTTCAAAAGAAGCATCATCATCACATGGCAATCGGGCACACAGAGAGCTATAAGAAATGTCAAATGTGTGACAGAGGGAGAGAACCAGCACTGGATAAGACAAACCTGCTGTTGCAGGAGGCCAGCAGGGCCAGGGAAACATTGGCTCCTGGGCCGGTGAGGTTCACAGCGAGGCCTCTTCTTAGCAGTCTTACTGGAGGCAGATACCAACTGGACCAGGCGATTGGTGAAGACTGGGGTGCGAAGGAGGTGAGGACTCAGAGTGGAGGAGCTCACAGAGGGGGACGAAAGGGGAGCTTGGGAGACTGTCTCAAAGAGGCCACGGGCCTGAGGAGAGGGTCCTAGAGTTGCCTGTGATCTCTGTGGCTGTTGTGGCCTGGGGAATGTCCTGGAAATAGGGCTGGGTGCAAGGGAAGTTGCAGAAAAGCCAGGAAAAACACCAGGACACTGTGGAGGTGCTGATGGGAAAGTAGGGTGGGGAATTGAAGGTGTCACATGAGAAGCAGAAAGGGTCCGATGAGGGAGGCTATGACTGGATGATCCTAGCGGTTGCTGTGCAACCTTGAGGTCCCTAAGGGTTTGCTCAGGTCGTGTCTGAATCCCTCCACAGGTCGGGGGTCGCAGCACTTTAGCTGAAGATGCAAGCCCCGCTGTGAGCACAGGTGGAGTTGGAGCAGGTGTTTGAAGCGGTTGCCCCATCTGGCCGTCACACTCATCCAGGTCTGCCAGGTCAACATCCCAATCATCAAAATCATCCTGAGCCACACAGGGCTTCATCGACCCTTGTGTGTTAGCATGACTCTGCTGCGATGCCAAAACAGGCTGAGAGTTATTCTGAGTGGGAGGACGGGAGGAGGGAGGCTGAACAGAGGAGGAGGAGGAGAGCTGCTTCAAACCAAGAGCAACAGTGTGTGTACCGTTCCTTGATGCTGTGTCATTACACAGGGCAGCTGATCTCTCTCCAGTTTGCTGAAGCCAATTTTTCTCCTGTATTCTGTGAGCAGCAGAGGAGGCACGCAGTGCGCAGAATGACACAGCAGCTGTCACATCGGCTGGTCCAGACGCTGTGGGGACAGCCCAGTCTGTCCCCAGCACGTCCTGGGAAAAAACACACACAACAACAGAGAAGATGGAGGGCAACAGAAGGAGGCTCATTATGCTACAAACTGTGAGCAGCCCGCACTGACAGTTACATAACAGTTGAAATCAGGTGTGTTGCAGTCTGCTGGGAATCACCTCATCATCAAAGTCCTCGCCAATGCTGAACAGGCCACCTAATTTGCAGGTCTGTAGGGGAGGGAGCAGCAAACTAATGAAATGTCCTCACAAAGCGTGCAACAATAACATGTCAACAGTGCAATTTAGCAGGAAAAGCTGGTCTTAGAAACTAGAAAACGTGACATAAACGAACGTTAATGTGTTATCTGTGGGCACTGAGCATCTTGTTAGCTTAGTTAGCTCAGTGGTTGTTGTGTTATATTGGCTCACTTACCATAGCAGTAATCGGATTTCGCGATGAAAGCCGTAGTTGATCAATTTGAACATTTACACCAAACTTAGTAAGCCATCGACTGTCAGACAATAAGGACGTATAAACATAAACTTATTTTCTGTCGCTATACCTTTACTTTGACAAACAACGAACGAACTAGTCAAATTAAGTTTCCACCAGTCCTGCTGGTGCTTAGTACCGCGCCGCCACGTTCAAACACGACGTAATGACGTAAGACATGGATACTACAAAGATTGCTAAAACAGAGCAAGAGGATTCACTCCTCACCACAACCGTCCGCGCACTAAGGTAGCTTCATTTTGGTTTGATTTTAGCTATGCTACACCGTATTCACTGTACTTTCTAGTGATCTTGTGTTGAATGTGTATACTGTTAAGTTCATGGCTGTGGTTTATCGGTTCGCCTATGGCTGCACCCCAGTCAGCGCTTCCACAGCGAATGCATCATGCATGCTAAGAAGTCGCACCACTACAATACCATACATACACGTGTTGTGATCTTCAATTAAAATGTGGTGATACCTAATTCACATTTATCATACTTCCCCACGTCCTCTGTAAACTGGGTTAGGACATAGAATCTCTCTACATTTCTTTGTTCTTTGGTTTACATGACTGGTTGAGGGAGATAAACACCGGATCAACACTGTCACCTCGTGTTCATTCTGGATAAAACAAGTATCAGCTTGCATTCCGATCTATTAATAAACTGTTGAAATTGAAACTATCTTGTGACCCAGAGCACAAAGAAAGGGCTTTTAATGTGGAGGTCGATTTGTTGTAGTTTATGTTAAAAGGGAGACACGATTGATTTAAAATTATGAAAGCTTTTGCTTGATTTCTGCTGGGACCCCTGTGACTCACAGCCTTTCCACTGAAGGGTAAGTAAACGCTGTGACCTTTCTGTAACCACGCTGCCCAGTGTGTCTGAGGGAAGACTCGCATGCTTTAGGGAAATTAACGTATGCACTTCCAGCTCAAAGGAAACAGGACCATGGCATAAAATCATTTATTTTCTAAACTGATGTCTTTAAAAAAAACTGTCAATTGATTTTTAATTTTTCTTGGACTGACCTTAAGGTACTATGTCAAAAGACACGTTTCCATTTTCTTCTACCTCACTGCGCGCTCTGAGACTGGAGCAGCAGTATCAAGAATGGGAGGATGCTCGGCGAGCATTGGCTCACAGGAGAGCCATGAGCAGGACCCCACTGCCCCGGGCTCCCAGGCCTCCTCCCAGGCAGCAGCGACTCCAGGAGGTCCGGGCCCCTCCACCCCAGGTCCGGTGCAGAGACACAGCCATTCACAACACTTTCATGTGTGGAGACATGAAAGGGGTGTATGCGGTGCTGAAAGACCCTGCAATGGTCAATGCCCTGATGGAGACAGTGCATGACGAGATGGTGTGGACTCCAGAGATGGGTATGGCTTTTAAGACTTTCTTATCATCCTCCATAAAAACTAATAATATCTGACAATCTTATTGTTCCTCCGTCAGGGATGTGGACACTTAGCTCCAAGATAAAACAAACCTCAGCCCTTCGCCTGGCTGCCAGCCGAGGACACACAGGTTGTGTGGAGGAGCTCCTGTTTCGTGGAGCTGAGGTGAACGCTGACCCTGGAGGCAGCACCGCCCTCCATGATGCCTGTGCAGGTGGCCATGCTGTCTGCGTCCAGCTGCTGCTTTCTCATGGAGCAGATCCTGAACTGTTAGCTGCAGATGGCAGTGCTCCTCTTCACCTCTGCTCCTGTGCCCAGTCATTCCAGTGAGTGCTAAAAGAGCTAAAAAATAGCCATCTGTATTATTCATTAAGTACAATATTATATTGACTGTTAGGTTAGTTTTTGCAACAAGGGAAATAAAGTTGTTTCATCTTAATGTTCTTTAATTTATGGAAAAAGCACAAAAAGCTTGCCATAAATGTAAGAAAATACTATTTTTCCTAAAAAGCTGAAACAGCAGTGGCCTACTTCTTTTAAAACCAAGAGTGAAATGATGCTGTATAAGACAGATGTTTTTGCCATCTACAGTAGATACTGATGCTTTTGCATGGTGTCATCAGTAATTTGTGCACATTTTGGTCCAGGTGTGCTGAGCTGTTATTAGAAGGAGGTGCAGACATTAATGTAAGGATGGGGGAGTCACGGCTTACACCTCTCCACATTGCCGCTCGTCGAGGCCTAGAGGAGCATGTGGAGCTCTTTCTGAGCCACGGTGCAGATGTTTTAGCTACAAACCAAGAAGGAGAGACCCCTTTGAATGCTGCATGCGCTGGAGCCGATAGGCCATCTGAGGCTGGTCGTTATTTACGTGTGATTCAAAAGCTGCTGGATGCAGGAGCAAACCCCAGAACTGCAGGCAGGAAGCAGCACAGCCCCTTGCACAACGCCTGTGCAAACTGCAGCCCCAGGATTGTAGATGTCCTCTTGAAGCATGGAGCAAAGGCTGAGGTTGCCAACTGTGCAGAATACACACCAATGGACTGTCTGTTACAGGTAGTAAATTTATGGATTTTTTTTTTTAAAGGGGGGAACTAGAAAGGTAGGCACTAAATAGAGAGACACATTTTAGCTCAGGTTGCGATGAAGGTGTTTCTCCTTGTTTCTTAAGGTGGTTGAAGATTACCCTGAACAGCAATCTGAGGCAATAGCACGGTCACTTCTGAACTACGGAGCCAAGCCTGTTTCACCAAAGGTGTGGTAAAACCAGACCGAGAGAGTGTGGTAACTAGAATGTATAAAAAAAAAATACTATAGATACAGGATGTTGGAAAGAGACAGGAACATGTAAAATTAGGTTTTAGCAGATACCCACCAGGTGTGTCTTGGTGGGCAGTTATGTAAAAGAAGGGAGTGATCAACAGATCCCTGCACACTGTCAGCACTGAGCTACAAGGTTTATGCCACAGACCCTTGTTAGCCTAGTCTAAAGCTACAGGCTGTAACAACCAATCAAAACAGGAGCCAATTTTAAACATGGTGTCAAAAAATGATAAACTTCACACTAAAATTAAATAAAAGTTCATATCAAAATCAGGAGGAAGCATCTAATGAGAAAAAAATGATTTTCTCATGTAATAAAATAGAAATGTTAAAGAAGCATTCTACTGTGCTGCAATTCCTGGGGAAGCAGAAATTACAGTTACAATTCAAATGGGCCGCCTTTTTTTTTTAACACTTCTTTCTTTCCTGACTCCAGATGTTCAAGCTATGTGTCCGCTCTCCTGCTACTCTGGAGGTGATGCTGAACTCGTACACATCTATTCCTCACTGTGAATGGATGGACTCTCTGTCTACTGAGATATATGAGGTGAGCTGTCTGCAATATTAAATCATAGCTTTCACTTGTTCTTCACCACACTGCCCCATGGACTAGAGGTTCTGTTTCTCCCTCCCTGACCCAGGCACACCGACTTTTCTTCGACTTGGTGCACCAGCGGAGTGGTCAGCCTCGCTCTCTGCAGCATCTCTGTCGATGTGCTTTACGTCTGCGCTTCGGAGCCCAGTGTTACTCAGCAGTCAGTAAACTGGACATTCCCAGCTATGTGAGGGATTATCTGCTGTTGTGTAATGATGGGACTCTCCAGTGACATACATCGTCTAACAGGATGATGCCTCTTTATAAACACTGTCTAAAAAAAATATTACTTTTCTCAGATTTTATTTTATAAACTAACACGTTTTTTTGTTAACTTTGACGTAATTTTAATAATAATGATCTGTTGTTTGGACAATGTAATAAAAAAACATTTTTGTGTGTGGAGTTACTGGGGAAAAAACAATAAACAACTTTACTACCTGAGAGATTATTTTTCATTTAAAAGTTCCTTTTAATTGAAAGGAAATTATTATTAAAATTATCAATTAAATTATTAAGTTAATTCCTTAAAATTAACCATTTTAATATTGTAGATAAATCAGAAAACAAGGAAAAGCATGTCACGGGCCCTTTAAAATTTTTTTTAAATATATAGGCTTAAATTTGGCCAGAATGTGCATGAAAGATTATTTTGTATTTAATCTTGTAAGCAGTGTGCACTTACAGAATATATTTCCACTCAACCTTAAAACACTGGCTTAGTACATGCACACATTATATTATAACTTATGAAGAGTTATTATGGGATCAGGAGTAGCCGCCTGCGGCTGACCCGTTTCTGAAACAAGCGCCCCTACCGCGCGGTGATGACGTCTCTTCCTCTCGCTGTTTATTATGTGGTTTTTAAGGAGTAGCTGCTAACTAGCGTTTAGCTTCGTCTTCAGACATGCTCTGATTTCACAGCTGACAGGTAATATCAAATGATGTCTGGACAGCAAATGACCTTACACGTTCACATCAAACCGAGCGTGTGAGAGTCGTAAACAGGCGGTGCTGTTTTTCCCCCAAATAACAAGCTAGACCAGCAAGCTAACTTAGCGTGCTATCGCTCTTCTTCGGTAGAAACGGCAGGCTAAAAGAAAACATTTATCAGCACCGCAGCCTGGCTTTCATATTGTCTAAAAGGTTGAATATCGAGTCTAATGGCGAATGCAAAGAAACTTTCAAACAAAAAAAACATAATGAATTGTCTGTATAATATCTAATTAAAATACTACTTTTTAACGCCAGCAGTCATGTTTGCAGTTAAAACATCTAACGCCGTATGCACCATTTGGACGAGTGAATAGACACCTCGCTAAAGCAGTTTGAGCAAAGATATGATTCATAAAGGGAGCTTTTCCTGTTCGACTGCATTAATTTTGGCCCTACTGTACCTAATAAACTGGCAACTGAGTGTATAATGTGGCCCAGCTCTGTCATGTTAGTGGAAGTGCTGTATTATTAAACCAGACTTGTTGGTGTCTTCCCTAGGTTTGGAGGGCAGAGATGGCAGTGTGTGCACTGACCATGTTGGATGGCGTGGAGGATGAGGTGACAGCAGCAGGGGGTGCACTGCTCCTGGTCCTGGCTCTCGTCTTGGCTTGGCTGTCCACTCATGTGGCCGATCGGAGAGACCACATTCTGGGCACCATCCTCACTATGGGCGCTCACGCCTCTCTCATCGGACTGGGAGGCCATGACAGCTACAGCGGAGGGTCTCCCAGCACCGACGCCCCTGAACAGCAGATTCCCGCACCCTCGCAGGAAAACAAGCCGGACGATGGCGAAGCGGGGAGTGGGGGAGGAGAGAGTGAGGGAGCTGAGGGTTTCAGGACGGATCTGCAGCTGGACATACAGAGCAAACCACCACAAGCTGGAAGGCTGCACACTTCTGATGAAGAGGATGATGAGGCTGATGATGAGGAAGAGCTGGAGGAGGAAGATAAAAGGGCTATAGAACATATCCCGGTTTTGGCCAGCACCATCTACCCCAGCACTACTACTACAACTGCTATTTCTGTCCGTCTGAAGTTTTTAAATGACACAGAGGAGGTAGCTGTTGTAGAACCACTGGATACAGTAGGAGTACTGAAAAGGTTAGTAGAGCAACACTAAGCATCTAATTACACACCACCTGCAAAGATTGTTAAAGATCTCTGCATCTAGTTCTCAACAAAGTGTCTCCCAAAACATCTTTTTTAAAGAGCTCTTCTTCTTGTCTCCTCCAGTAAATACTTCTCAGGTCGGGAGCATCAAATAAAACTGATCTACCAAGGCCAGTTGCTGCAGGATCCAGGGAAGACTCTGTTATCCCTAAACATCACCCACAACAGCGTGATCCACTGCCACATCTCCCAGGCCCTGCATGAGGCCAGTCCAGAGGACGGGGTTCAGCCTGGGGCCGGAGCAGGAGTCGGGTCTGGGTTTTCCGGAGGATTCAGGGCTGCAGGTGTGGCCATTAGCACCAGCAGCCTGGTGGTGCCCGTGTTTGTGCTGGTACTGGCTGTGGTGTGGTACTTTCGCATCAACTACAGGCAGTTCTTCACCGCCCCTGCGACCGTCTCCCTCGTGGGAGTCACTGTGTTCTTCAGCTTACTGATATTTGGGATGCACAGCCGCTGAGAAAGCACAAAGAGGTCACACGCTTACAGCTGACTGTTATGTGGCAAATAAAAGTAACTACAACAGCGGGTGAGCGGCCAGTGAGACGGACTAATTGGAACAGGCCGCAGTGCAGGTGCCACAGCTGATTGGGCACTTTCAGTGTGCGAGGTGAGCCTGTTTGTGCATGTACTGAGATAAAAAAAAACAAAAAAGATGAGCGAATGTATATGTAGTATATGAGGGGTGCATAACAATCCACAGTGAGTTATGTTCAGCTTAACAAGAACCCATTATTTAGCTTCTCTTCAAACACAATTTACCTTGTCTTCTTAGTCACTGAAGAGGCTTTCCTGTTTTTCTGTTAAATAAATTTTACTGTTAGATTTCAAAATGTAAAATCGTTTGGAACCACGCACTGCTGTGTGCCAGTTAACTCTTTAACATTATTATTATTAATCAAGCTCTTTCGTAGCCAAATATAAACTGTACAGATTGTCCGTGCTAGGCTTATCATGTCAGTTTTGTTTTTCTTTGCTAAACAATGTTGCTCTATAGAAATAGGTTGAGTGTAAATAATCAGACATCAAATTTACATTTTTTTGTAAGATATTGTAAATATCATTTTCTGTAAATTGAAACACGAGGGATCAGATGAAACTGCATCTAGTGCTCCAAAGATTTGGAGGGAGAAGTTCAATCCTCCTGATTGTGCTATACTGCTCTGGCTTCATGTCTCAAATTAAAGCATTTCAAATCAAAATTGTTTCAGTGCCTGTTGGTGAAGAACTGAATCTCCTGGTACAGTTTGTATTTATTTGTATACTGTACAAACATCAGTATGCATGGTAGTCAAGTAAAATAACCTATGTATCACATTATGTTCAGATACAAGTCATTTGCACATGTGCTTGCAGATGAAACATTACTGGAAACATAACATTGCATTCTTTGTCACTGCGCTCGTACAGATCCACAATGAGCCACAAGAGAATATCAGTAGAATTTAGCTTCATTCATAGAAAGTGGCTGGAAAATCATCAATCAATCAATTATAGCTACTAGAGTATCTCGATAATGGTTAATTTATCTTTAGTGCACATCACGAGACTTCAATAGAAACAATTCCAAAGGGCAGTTAGTGAAAATGTATTAAAAACATACCGGGCTCTGACAGATTGTCATTTTCATGATGTAGAACAAAGCTGAGGGGGCTGTACAAATAAGATTTGGATGGGGAGGAGCATTTAATTCTACATTTTTATAAAAACCAGGGCCTTCCCCAGTTGGATATCAATATTATCTACAGGTAAAACTGCAACACCCTTCCCCTAGAATCTCAAAGCAAAATATTAATAGCTGCTAGAGAGAGAGGTTTTCCAGCCTGTATGAGTGAAGCAGGCTCAGGCTGCAGCTCTGTGGTTGCTGAGAGACTTGAGCACTGTGATAAGGGGATTAAAAAAAAAATAAATAAAATCAAAACGGGTAAGAACTGTATGTGATTCCGCTATAGGCTGATATGCCTAAAGAGGAGCCGCACTGATTTTACACATCAAAGGTTATTTACAGGTCTTGGGGAGTACTAATGCATGGGACTTGTATAAAGGCTTTTGTGTCTCCACAGGGAGCCACAAGAAATCTGACAAACTGGCAGCATAACACGCCTGTGACTGAGCTGCATTCTGGGTAACTTAGGCAACTATTTTTATAAGTGGAAAAAAAAAATGCATGGAATAGATGAAAGATCATATCTCTGGTTCTGCTTCATCAATTTTGATCTGGTGTTTTTATTTTTAAAAGAACTGTCCATCATGATTACAACAGTTCTACAGGAGCGCTATGCTACGGTGGAGTATCTTAAACCCTTAAAATTCTATCAACCCATCCCTTGGATCTAATCTGTTCCTCAAAACTGACATACTGGATGTACTAGTTAGTTGATTTTGATGAGGAAAGCACTGTAAATCCATGACAGAGATGCTACCGTCCTCTGTGTATCATATAATAGCATCTTTGTGGCTTTTAATATAACTTTATATCTCATGAAAAGAATGAAATAAGAATGTGGGTAAAAAAATAAAAAAAAAGTGGTTCTCTCCAAAAAATTTTAGACCAACCCCCTTTAGTAAAGACACCAAGCAAATACAAAACAACTCTGACTTTTCCAACCCCCACAAATAATTATGTACAGTCCTTAAGTTTACAGTTTTACGACACACTTCTGAGTCTACAAAAACATCAACAACAGTAAAGTCTTTAGGTTTCTAAAGCCAAATTATAGGGGAAAAAAAGTAAAAACACTTTTCTAGGACACCAACAGCAAAAGGTTGCAATTATAAGATTGGTGCTCTTATGCACATAATGTATCTTAAAACTTTTACACCAGACATTGGTTACACTCATACAATACTTATCACTCATTATGGATGACAAGCAGGACTGCGTCACAGTTCTACTTGCACGTAGAACGAGTAAAATACACGAGACAATCTGGTACTGAAGAAATAAAGTTGTTAGAATCACGATTCAATCTGCATCTCACACGTCACACATACACACACTGTACATGTGCCCTACCAGCCCGGTGGCTCATCAATGATCAAAACACCCAAATAATGTAGTCATGGCCAAAAACATCTGTCCTCCTGCATTTCTGTCCGATAACACACCACGTCTCCCAGAAGATTGTTGCAATTAAAAATGACTTGGTATTCTCATGTTTATTTCTTTTCTTTGCAGTGGAAAGATGCAAAAAGCAGAGAAAGCCAAGTCTGATTCATTCCACAGTGAACTCCAAACATGGACTGGACAGAATTATTGACACCTTTTCAAAATAATCAGAAATAGTTGTATTTCAAGCAGGTGATGCTCCTTTAATTTGTGGTGAAACTCACCCGTAGCAACCAACAGGTGCTGGCAACATAGAAATCACACTGACAACCAGTTAAAAAGGAGAAACATTGACTCAACCTTTGTGTTGTGTGGACCACCTTGAGAATGAAGAAAAGAAAGAAGAGCAAAGGATTGTCTGAGGATGTGAAAACCACAATAGTGGAAAATCCTGGCCAATCTCAAGGCTACAAGTCCGTCTCCAGAGATCTGGCTGGTCCTGTGTCCACTGTGTGCAACATGGTCAAGAAGATTACTGCCCATGGTGCTGGAGCTAATCTCCCTGGACGTGGACGAAAGAGAAAAATAGATGATGGATTGTAACCAAGGATTGTTTGAATGGGGGAAAGAAGAGGTGTAAGAAACGTGCTGATGCTTATAGTAAGAGACTGATTTCAGTTATTTTGTCCATTTTTAAGAGTTCTCTGTGGAATGCATCAGATTTGTTTTCCTTTTTTTATGTTGTTCCAATGCAAGCAAAAGAAATAAACATGAGAATACCAAAGATTTTGTGATTGCAACAATTTTCCTAGAAGAAGTGCTGCATTATCTGAGAGAAATATTTTTGGCCATGACTGTACACACAGTATCACGTCATAAGCAGTAACTAATAAAAATTTTAATATACTATTGATGTAAACAAAAAGAGGTAAATATTTAAAACGGTGCACATACCGTCACAAAAATGTCACATTCTCGGATGCATAGTTCTGTGAAAATATAAATGACTAAACACATCCTCTGATCTCACACACACACACACACACACTACACATAAAAAAGTGACGTTCACACTGACTTTAAGTCAGCATACAGACACACTCACACAAATGTGCAATACAATGCCAGAATTAAAAAGCCACTGATGAGTACTCCAGTAGATGTGTCAAGTGCTGAACTGAAAGCAGTTTAAAGTCCTCATCTCATCACAACTGCATTTAAATGAACAAAGTCTAAAAACAGGGACTGGATACAGGAAAGTTTTACAAAGCCACGACTTTTCCCTCCTAATCTTTACATCCTATTTGGAGCAGACAACAAGCCTTTTCTGACTGGGAGAGTAAAGGTTCTTCAACTTTGAACAGGGAGTTTAGGAAGAAAATACCAGGAATTTAGATGTTTAGGGACATCCTGAAGTTTTGTACACACCCGGTTCGGTATGTATTTCCAGAAATTATGAAATGGGCATTTTCCAGAGCAAACATTTGAGCTCATCACAGTAGGGGACGCACAGGTGTAATCAATACCTTTAATAATGGCTGTATTACATTTAAGTGTATCAATAAACCTGTCAGTGGGCAAGCTTGCAGAATGGCAGAGCTCTGAAACTAGGAAAGCTAAATGCAGTGCAGCCCTTAACAATGACATTAATTACACCTGTGGGTTTCCTGGTATGTCATGCCAAAAGGCCATTAATGGTGTATTTTTAAGGGCTGTTTCCCGCATAACACCGATATTAATCATATTGTACAGTTTTGATTTGTGAATTTGAAACAAGGCTCTACTTTAGCTGAATGGCAGAAACAGAGAATGTGATGATGGCGTTTTAACTTGTGTCCTATCTATGGAAATGTTACGATTATGACAGACGGGTCTTTGCATTTACACCTATATCTAAATATGCAAATTAATTAGACGGGGCTGAGGGACTTGTCGACAAAAACAGTGCTACTAGATGGAGCTTTTTGCCAGGATTGCCTGAACTAGCAATAAGAGGCGGCATTCGGTGACCTTTCAAGTTATTATTACTATTTTTTTAAGAATATGGTCACACATTTATAACCTCTTCTCCAAGGGAGAGATGGTCTACTAGTATAACTGTGTATACTAAAATAGATGCCTTCCTTTCATGTAAAACTTGTTATAATGAAATGGCTCAAACTAAATTTCAGACAACCCACAATTAGTTACCAATGCAGTTTCAAAGGACCAACGACAAAAAGCGTCACCCTGATTTTCATCTTAGGGTGAAAGCTGCTGTTAGTGTTGACTGAACTATCCAAAGTTACTGGAAGCTTTGTTTTTAAACTGAATTTCCCTGTTAAGTACCCACAGATCCTCTGATTTGACTCTGTGACCAAACTTTTGTTAAACATTATTGAGTGTGTTTACGATAGAGAAGGAGAAATCTTCATTAAAATACAGGTGCCTTACTCATCATGGGCGACTGAGTCAAGTTAAGTTTAATCCCATCCTGTTCAGGCCTTTAAATACTTATATGAAAGGGGGTACTCTGATGAACAACAAGGTTTATGTTAGTTTAAGTCATCGTAGATACTGGAAATAGAGGGTGCAGACACTTTGGGCCTCTTTTTTTTGGTCACCAAACTGATATTACTCTGAGAACTGCTGCTTCCGCTCAGACTTCCACCTCCACCTCCACCTCCCCCACTGTTCAAACAAAGAGATGTCCTCTTCTTTTTCTTGGGCCTCCTAGAATCGGAATGGTTGGTGCCTGAGAGAAGAAGACCAATTAATCTACCAAATGTCTACAAGTGTTATCAATAAATGACTTTCAGTGTAGCCCATAGTATTTCCTTACTGGCTTTAGATGAGGCAGAGTCAGTGGGTGAGATATCAGGGGAGTCTTCCCACTGCAGGCGGCTCAGCAGGGTCTGTCCGTCTGGAATGTCAAAGCTGTCGTTGTCCACTGCTGTGTCTGCACTGGGCAGCAACGGCCTAGTACATGAAACCAGGACACAGTCGCACATTGTTAGACTGGCAGAACTCTGAACCCAAAGTAATAACACCGTCCAATTAGTTTCGACACATCTGTTCTATTAAATATGAGGAAACAAATGTACAGAGCAGTCAGATTTTTATCAGCTCTCTAGAACAAAAAGAACAGTTGCAGGACAGCGACCAATACGACTTATCTGATTTAAGCTTTCCGTTTATCTTACATAAGAAATAATGAATTGTCTGTTGAACTTGAACAACTAGTCAACTCATAACTTAGTCTATACACAAACCTTAATTGGCCACTATATTTTGATAACCATTTCATTGCTTCAGCACATTTTCAAATTAAAAATTTCCAAGCTTTTCTGGTTTTGGCTTTGCAAATGTGTTCATTCCTGTTTACAACCCCGGATCAGAAAAAGTTGGGACAGTATGTAAAATCAAAGCTAAACTGGAACACAATTATTGGTTATTATTATCCCCTAGAAGTGTTGATAAATAAGTGGATTGTGGTGATATTTCAGGCAGACTGTGGTCTTTAATCAGCATCACATCTTTAATCTTATAAGTCATTCAGCCTATTTAAGTGAAGTAAAGTCCTCATTGTGCTTTTTGATATCAGTGTGTGACCACACTGGACATGAACAAGATCAAGAAGAGAGCTATCTGAGGAGATAAAGGAGGAAATATTTTCCCAGCACGGTCAAAGACTGTCTCCAAGCAGTGTGATATTCCTGGGACAACAGCTGCTAATGTTATTAGGAAGTTTAAAATCCATGGTACCGTAGTTAACCTCCCTGGATGCAGCTGCAAGATAAAAATTGACCCCTGACTGAACAGAAGGATTGTTTCAATTGTGGTAAAAGAACTTCAGGACAGATGCAAGCTGAAATCCAAGATCAAGCTACAACAGTGTCCTGTGGCACCATACAAGGAGTTCTTAATGAAAGCGGGGTCTGTGGAAAAGAACCAGGAAGAGTCCACTTTTGAAACATTAACAAAAAAACTGAACGGAGTTTGTTAGCATACATGCTGACAGGCTACAGTGCTTCTGGGAGAATGTCCTTTGGACAGATGGAACTACATGTGAGCTTTGTGGTTACTGTAAATCAGCTCTATGTTCATCAAAAAACTAATTAAGTTTTCAAAGAGCACCATCCCCACTGTGAAACATGGAGGCTGCTCAGTTATGTTACGAAGTTGACGCGCTGCTTCTGGCACATGGTGCCTTGAATCTGTGTAGGTCATGATGAAATCAGAAGACTATCGGGGCATTCTGGAGTGAAACGTACCGCCCAGTATCAGAGAGCTGTGGCCCGCTATGAGTCTTGAGCTTTCTCCAACTGAAACTTTATACAAAGAGCTAAACTCACAACAATCAAACCAGAGAGAACAGGAGGAGTTTGTTCAAAAAGAGACTGCCTCAAACAAATGCACAACAAAGTGGGAGGGCACCAACACTTTTAGCCAAGGTGGTCTAAATGTGAGCTGGAATACAGATACGGACATGAATGTATGTGTAAATGTGACCAAGAGTATATTTCATGGATTGTTTATAGTCTGTGTGGAATTTGGACTGAGAGATCAAATCTCGCTCTGTGACAATCAAGACTACTTAATGCTACTATTATCAAACACCACTATGTAGGAGGTGTATGGGTGGATTGACATTTTCTTTAAATACGGATTCTATTGTCCTGCAATCACAGCAAAAATTCTAGCAGAAAAAAAAACAGGACATAAAATGACTGATTATCTTCCATCTTTGATAACAATGTTTGACATGTCATCACTTTGGACTGTTTTGGTGTTACTGGACAACCTGTTTCCTGGTTCCCATTAAGCCAACTGCTAAATATGATACTACAGAGCAAGATGCTGCTGAGAAGTCTGTCAAAATTTGTCAGTGTCAATACATGCAGTTTATTTTTGTGATAAACCACAAAGTCATGTTATTGTAATTGTTAGTATATACTGCAATATACACTTGAAATTCAACCATACAATAATCTAAACTTAGGAATTAATACTGATCATCATTTGTAAAAGTTTAAAATGCAATATGACATCTACTGCCAAAAGATTAACTTGTTAGGTTGCATAAGTTGCCTGCACAAATTGTGCAAGTACAACCACACAAGTTGTATTAATGGTGTCATCTATTCACCTTTGTTGCCTTTGATAATAATAAAAATAAAATAAAATTTATAATAAAACATCACAAAACACACAGTGCCCCATCAGCTGCAGTGTAATATTCAGTTAACCCTTGTGTTGGAAAACACTCACAGCTCTGCCTTTGTCAAAACCTGCTACTTGCAGAGAAGAAACCCATGTACCAGAGTATTCACAACACTGACCAGCAGCACTGTTCTGTCCCTGTCTCTGGCAAAGGCAGCCTGATTAGAAAACGGTGAACTATATCGGCAAACACCTACACCATGAAGGTCACAACATTCATTCAAACAAGACTTTTGTTAAGTACACTTGTAGGGGATGGGGAGGGTGAGGAAGGGGACAGGGCACACTCACGCGGATGGCCCCAGGAGGAACACCCTGACAGCCCTCCTCTGTTCGTCCGTGTGCTGGGGACATCGCTGAGACCTGGTGGGACACAAGGTGGCATTATACATCCCTGACTGACGGCTGCCCACGGCCGCCACACAGCTTCAGGACAGACGTTCTAACTACAGTCACAGGGAGGGAAATGGGATGGAATGCTTCAGACAAAGTCAGTGACCAATAAGAGGTCTTAAAGGTTACGAAATGTTAGAGGTCGGTCACTAACAGGGTCCAAATAAAACATCTTTGTTTGTAATCTCTTGTTGCTTCTGAGATCTTTTCAATATTTACTGTTTTGGTTTATGTGAATAAGTCAATCACTGGTCCAAAACAAAATCTGATAAATGTCATACCAAGTTGCCACTTGTGTTCCCCTTAAATTAGTCCCAACATACATGATCATTTTCATAAATACCATAATGAAACTGATCATGATTCCAGATTTACATGCAGCCATCACGTTCAGTGTCAGACAACATTTCTAAGTGGTTTAGTAATGAAAAGGTTTTCATGACCAAGCTTCACAAAGGGCCAAGCTAAAGGACAAAAACCTTTAGAATTCAGACTAAATAACACCTGAGTCTATCCTGCATTATCCCCAGATATTAGCTACACAAAAGCAGAGTGAAGGCGTTTTATTACTAGTTTATCTACTGTGTGTGCCAGTGGTTTACACAGCAATTACCTGGTACACATCTTCTTGGTGTGCTCAGAGATCACCCCACATTGCTGTAGAGACAAACACTACCTTAATACTAAAAATGTGTAGAATGAAAAACAGTAGTATTGACAGTTTCTACAGAGAAAAACACAGTAAGAAGATCTGCATGGAGGTGGATTAATGAAAGCTGCTCACCGTTGTTAAAAGGGACCGGACTTCATCAGGGCCCAGTGTTTCATAGCTGATCCCAGTGTTATAGCTGTACTGTACGACAAACCAAAAACTTATTCTCAATACTGTTGGTGTGTTTAAAATACAAAATGGAAGACATTTGTGTTCCAACAGGCAACATGACCAAAGAAAAGACTCATCACCTTGTAGGCCTCTGCACTGATGCTGCTCCCAAGCTCACCTGAAGAAACATCAGTCTTTTTTTTACTTCTGACACATCCATCAATAAAACCATTAAAACTCAATCAAAAACAGCAAAACATAATGCATGTAGACATGGCCATATATCAAAAAAACAATGATCTCAGTGCTAATCATTTCAATCACAACCAGGAGGGTTTCCAACCTTCCCAAGCTACATGTTTGAAAACTAACATGCATTTGATCATATATTTGTTTCCCCCCATAAACAAGGATCCCATGCTCTCAAGAGGTTTCCCCTTGTATAAATAAAGACCTGATAGACTCACCATTTTTGTGTTTAAGAGATTTGGATCTTCGTGGGGAATTCTGACTCTGCACAAAGAGTCAGAGTAAAATAACCTCATTATACAAATTAAACCATACGTATAAAATGACCGATGCTGTGTGCAAATGCAAACTTAAATACCTTATCGGACTTTCTCTTTTTGGCTGTAAAAAGGAAACAATAAGTTTGTTGTTTTATGAAAGCAATTCAGAGGGTTACTTAATAATTCTCTCTGCACAGGTGGTAAATTTCAAGTGCTCACCTTTCTTTTCTGCTCCATATGACCAGTCATTATCATTAAGGTCATCGTTGTCTTCCTGATCACTCTCTGATTTGCTCGTGTTATTATTGCTGGCTAGTCTATTTAAAGGCAAAAAAAAAAACAATCTGAACACATGTCCACACATACATTTATTGGATCAGGGCAACAAACAGTCCTGAATGACCTTTACTGACAGACCTGCGGCTGGCGATACGACTGCTGTTGCGTCCCATGCCGAGACATTTCTCCAAGTGCGGGGCGAAGCGAGAAGCTGCTATCAATCTTTTGCAGTTGGGACACTCACACTCTTTGTTCTTCCACTGATTGTACACTTGCCCAAATATGTCCACTCCTGGCTGATCCACAATTTCTATAAGCATGAACAGATGACAAACAGTAAGCAAATGCACCAAAGAAAAAGACAAAAGACCAGTAGACTGGAAGAAAAGCCATAGCACCAACCAAACTCCTTCATGCTTTCTTGGTCCGTTTCATCCAAGAAGAAATAGCCCTGTTTCACAGCACGATGTACCTCAAAGCACAGGCCCAAACAGGCATCTTCTACCAGCTCAGAGTATATGTCATGGACCAAGGCCTAGGAAACAAGATAATAAGATGGTTTAACACCCAATGTAATCTAGAGTGCACATTAAAGCAAATGAAAGACATACTGTGTATGTGAGAGACAATTAAAGTAAGGATGCAAAAATCTATTTATCAGTTTCTTCCCTGTTCACTCACCTCCAGCTTGGTGTTGTCTGGGCCTGACAGGGGCATATCCTCCATTTTCATTTGAAAGTCTGTATGAGAAATCTTGGTAGCAAGGTAAAAAGATGATGAGCTGAGGATTCAGAGCACAGAAAACAAGACTGCAATCACAAAAAAAGCAATGAAATGGTAACAAATCCGATCGGAGCTTGATGCCGTAGTACTTACTTTTAATGTAGCTTTCAGTATTTGTTGCAGATCTGCCTTAGTTCTGTTGCAGAGAAGAAACCAGTGTTAAAAGGGGTTTCTTAAATTCTCTGCAACTGAACTCTAAACCTGGCGGTTCACATACGTCTCAAAGCGTCGGGTGCGGTAACCTGAGGTAAAATGTATTTATTTACACTATAAACCACAAACATCACTACCGAACAGTTACAGGGAAAATGCGACAGCAACACAACTGCTGAACACTGTTTTTAGCATCAGCTATGTTAACATTACTCCTTAGTGTTACCGTTTGCTAGCTGGACCCGCTGCCTTTACGTACCGTGACATGCAGGTAAAGCGTGTGTGGCGTCGTGTTTTAGGCTATATACTCGGATACACTACAATGACGTTAGCTATGTTTTTAATTTCATCAAAAGCTGTTTCCTCTTACACTGTCATGCCGAAAACATCACTTAGCCAGTCCACGTAAAGCACGTTAACTCGAAACGTTGGTTTCACGTACACCCATCTTCATGTTACAAGAAAAACAAAATCCTCATTTAGAGTATTTATTGTCGCAAGTGTAGGTTTAGCTAACGTTATAAACCTACTTGACACCCAATAAGGCCAACGGACCTGAACCAAACACAAAATAAAACCAACTTCCGGGTTTAACTTGGAAAATAAAAGCCTGAGCTGAAGAAATGCACTCAATACAGTCAGCTGTCATATTGCTAGCCTTGTTCGATTTATTTTTTAGCTAATATTAGACCTGCCTGCGATTGCTAGGAGACTTTTGTGCTGCAAATAAGGCGTTATTTACTTGGCTCTATATTAGTTTGAAGGCACAGTCTGCGTGCTTGCCCTTTATCTTATCTTCCGCCGAAAACATCAATAAATGAGCTCCAGATTTTCGCTCTTTATCTGGAAACGGTCTGTTGAGCCTAAGCGGTTGAATGAGGTCACCAGCACCACTACACTATGCAGCCAAAAGTATATGGACAACAGCTCTACACTGATTAGGCCTTGCTCATGTTCACTGTTTGTGTTCCAGTTCATCCGAAAGACGTTTAAAGTGGCTGGGTTCAGGGCTCAGTGCAGGTCAGTCAGGTTCTTCCACATCAGCCTGGAAAAACATTTCTATATGGGGCTGGCTTTGTGCTTGAAAACATTGTAACACTGAAACAAGAAAGGGTCTTTCCTAAACTGACAAGACTGCATTACCAACAATGCAAAGCGGGCAAATTCAAGGCCCTAGAACTTTAGAAGTCCACCATATTATTTTCATGATTTCATTATCATCCATTAATTGCACCACTATTAGGCTATTTTCTTTTTCTGCACAAAATTATCTTTATTTTTCTAACTCTTGTTAGGACATTTGTGTTGTGAAATAATGGATAGCTTTATCCATTCAGGTCCTAAGAATTCTTCAAATTAAACAATCTGAAGAAGGAAAATCATGCTTTTCTTTACTCGGTCATGACTAAACCTATGTCAAGGGGCCACACACAGACACTGCATTGTTTTATGGGCACACAGGCCCTTAAAGATTGAAGAACCAGTGCCTCCTGTTTAATTAAATTGTCATACAGCAGATCTGTTTATGGGTAGTATTCCAGCAAAGACAAACTGAAGTTAAAACAACCTAGTAAGTTATTTTGGCACTGCAACTTACTGAAACACATCTTTTATAGGCCAGAGTAAGTGAATTTTGGTCATTGTTTGCTCAGTAAATGATTTATCAGCTTACTTTTAGCGATATGTTTTTCTTCCCACACACTAAAGTGCTGATCCATCCATTGTTATATCATCTTGACTCGAGCTCCCACTGAAACATAACACGTTTCTAACTGTTAAAGATCTTTTTTGTTTGTTTTATTTGCCCAAATACTTGAACTACAAGGACATAAGAACACCCTCAGCTATAGAAAACATCAAATTGTCAAATATTCAGCAGTACAAACTTGTAAAGCTTTGCTGTCTTAGATATTTTTGTAAACCAACGTAAGGGAGAGAAGAAACAACTGAAACAAGTGACTTAAACCAAAACCTTCTCCCTGTGAGTGGAAGACTCACTGGCCTCAGAAGTCACAGGTGAGGGTTTGCTAAATTCAAGTACTAACAAAACAATAAGCACTTGATACAAAAACAATATTTACAAAATAATTACAAGTCTCTTTTTAGGCTCCAATTCAACCGGCGACTCAGTTCCCTGAATCACCTTATCAATCAGTATGAGCAATCACTTTGCTTTTCGCTGCCCTAGTGACTGTATCTATATAGTCCACGCTGGTTGTTTGTCTGTGATTCATAATAGTCACAATCAGTCCATTACTAGTAATAGTTGCCACGTACTCATCTAGGTGTAGATCGAGAATGATCGATCAGGAAGTCTCGTCATTAGTCCACTGTAAGGTAATGAATGACACGACAGTGCAGAGCAGGAAAAAAAAAATCACCAAAGACCTTTGGAGGAAGAAAAACAAAATAAAATAAAAGATTTAACAATATCTACATTCATGGTGCTGGTATGACGTCCCCACACAGGCACAGACGTGCATGCTGCAGTCACATCATGGTATGCAACAAAACAGCAAAAAACGTCACACACTTAAGCAAAGAAATACACACACCCCCTCATATATACACAGTTCTGTGCACACAGGCTCACACAGAGGGACAGATTTACATCAAGTGCACAATTCATTTTTGGATAAGCATCAGAATAAAGCCCAGATGGATTACAGTCAGTAACATTTCAAACCAAAGTGATGAAACCTTTTGGTTCAACATCTACAAATAATTTCCTATGGACCAGAACACAGCTGCTCACAATTAAAACCTATTAAGAATCCAAATGAACTGTAAATTAAACTTAAAGCAACAGTTCAAATAAGAAAGTTACACCAACTGTTTGACGTACTTTTTAAAAACGGAGCTATAAATGTGGGGAACAAATATTATCCCTTCTAATGATGTATTCCACCTCCCTTGGACCTTTTTGTGGTTGAACTTGGTTTCTTGACACTGACACAAACTGATGTTAAAGTGAAAACAAATCTTAAGTTGATCTAAACAAAGTGAACTTAGTTGCTCATGTAAGTATTTACCAGTGCAGCCATTTGGTTTTATAGGTCACATCAGCTGAAAGAAGATCAATATTGTGTAACCCGTAAATTCTCTCTAATCAGTTCTCTGGTTGAGAAATATTCCAAACAACTAGTCAAAGGTGAATGATACAAAAAAAAAAGGTTTTCAAAACCCAGAATAGCCTGAAAGATCAGCCATTTAAAAACAGGATATGTAAATCTGTTTAGAGAAGACTGTGGCGGTGGAAGAAGCCCATTAGTGAATTAAATTCAATAGAGAATTAATGCAGGACTCGGAAATTATTGTTTACTCACAGCCCCGTCTCCCTGCTGCAACCAGGCAGTTTTGCAAAAACAGGGGAAATGCAAAGCTGCTAGAAACCAAGGCTCACGGCATCAGGGATGCAAGTCCTGCAAAAGGTGCTTATATTAATATTGAAGAATGTATTGTTTTATGTTTGTACTTGACCTAGGTACATTTGAAGGTGATTTTTCTTTGTGGTATTACAGGAAAACGTCCTTTTGGAAGTTCACTTGCTGCTGTCTTAGAGTTTGGTGAGACTAATGTCAGTTAAAATTCTGCTTAAATATAACTGCATTTCTAACAACACCCAAAATGTGTGTGAACTCACATAGTGACATCAGTGTTGCAGTATTAGAGGGTCCTTTTTTTGTTGAATAGTGTCAAAAGGCCTTACCACTTTGGTTCAGTGTTGTCAAACAGTAAAACATGAAAAAGTTGAAGGGTGGGTGAACACTTTATAGGCACCATGTCTTTTAGTAACAGGGTGTGAATTTTTCCAGCAACAAAAGAAGACATCCAAAATGGCTTGATTTTTTTTTTCCTGAAAAAATACCGCCTCTGTAAGAACTAAACCATAAAATCAACATCACAAATCGAGAATAAAGAACAATATGACAATGTTCTGGAAAAAAAAAAATATTAAAGGAAGCATTCTGAAGAGTGCAATTTTGCATTACCCCCTCCCTCCCTAAAGTGATCTGCCACACTGTTCTCTGAGTCTGTGAAGTCTGTTCACGACTCATGTCACCTGTCTCCATCTAATTACCAGAAGAATAAAATAAACACCAGAGGGTATTCATTACTCTCCACATTCAAACTCCACTGAACTTGTATATCAACATTGAAGCCAGAAAACCGGTGGGTTTTTGGCATAATGTCAGCAGGCCTGTGCTGTGAGAAGACTATCACACCGGGGAGGGGATGAAACAGATTCTGAACATTAGGGCAGGGTCCCCTCCATGACTACACGTCACAGGTGCAGCAACATGAAGTGGATGAGTGGGAAATGAAAGAGGCAATGCAGGTACTCCTTCTGGTGGTGGGAGTAGAGCAGGGTTGGCACAGTGGCAGAGCTCCCTGGACTCTTGGCTCAGCGCCGCTCAGTTAGTCTTGGGTAGACGCCGGGCCGTTTCAGTCCGAATCAGAGTCTGACGTCCCCTGTGAATTCGACTCGCTGCTGCTCTCCCCGGACTTGTTCTCCTTGTCTTCCACCTCGTCATCATCATCCTCCTCCTCATCATCATCCTCCTCCTCTTCCTTCTAAAAAAAAAAAAAAAGCCAAGTATAAACTTAGCACAATCAATGATAAGTCTTTATTCCATATATGCATCCAATAAGAAATGTCAACTGACATCATCATCTTCATCATCCTCATCATCCTCCTCACTGGATGAGTCTGCCTCAGAGGAAGCCTTCTCTTTCTCATCATCTTCATCCTCATCTTCATCATCCTCCTCCTCTGTGTCCTGTAGGAAGAGAACTTGATTGGTTATGGCTAACCACATACACACAGCTGATTTATGAGCTGACAAACGATTAAGAATAAGGAATGGGTGTTGTCACGCACAGATTTCTTGATCTTTGCTTTTGGGGCTCCTGGTTTTGCTGTACTTCTCCTTTTCTGAAATGCCAAGAGACAAACATTTTCTTAAATATGTCAAACATTATAGACGGTACTGTACATCTATTCCAGTACGTGAGACTACAGTGCTAATCATGACAGTAGAAGACTTACTTGTGAATTATATTCTTTGTAAGTGTTTCTCTCTTGGGGAGACAAACTCTATGGATGGGCAGAAGTGTATGTTAGAAAAGAAATTTTTAGTGGATATTTGACAGCTAATTCCCCTCAAATGTCAAACAATCCTTACAGCAAGCCACTGTTCCAGTTGGACTTTGTACTGCCTCTGCTTCTCCTCAGCAATCTTTTTGTAGCGGTCCTTGTCCTTCAGCGGCAACCTCTGCCAGCGGCTGCCAATCTCTGCCATCCGCTCTTTCATGGGGAGGTGATTCAGCTCTCCGTTGGACAGCATCTCCTGAGAGAACTTCTGGTATCCGTTTCTAGACAGTTACAGGAAAACAATCATTAGAACTTCAGGTCTTCAGGAGCTTGCAAATAACAAGCGGCCCAGGCAAAGTGGCAAACTTACGATGGTGGTTTTTTGGGTTCACCATCAAACTTCATCTTCTTCCCTGAGGCTATGGCAGGAGCAGGTGAGCGCATCTCACACAGGTCTCTCTGTTAAGGACAGAAAAGTCAGTGATTGAGTTTCACTGGTACTATGTACAGATGTCAGGTAGCTCTACTGGACTTAAACAGGGAACGGCCTCTGACCTCATATCTTTTCTGATCCTCTGCTGCCTTTTTGATCCACATAATCTTCTCTTTTTTCTCCATGGTGCTCCAGGTTGCTTCCATTGCTTTCTGCGCCTTTGGCCGGTCATTCTGCAGTACAAGAGGTTCACATTAAATGCACCTGTGGTGAGCAAGCCACTTTGTGGATTTCTTTTTTTTTTTTGTAGCATAGAGGTAATACAGCTGCAGTTCATTATTAGAAGCAGCATGACTGTTGCAAACGTATTCTATTCTCAATATCAGACTCTTCAAACTTCTGTAAAGACTTTACAAGTTTTCATGAGAAGACTCTGTTCCAGGTGGCACGGTGGTTAGCGCCGTCACCTCACTACAAGAAGGTTCCAGGTTCAAACCCCGAAGTGACATCGGGACTTTCTATGTGGAGTCTGCATGTTCTCCCTGTGCGGGTTCTCTCCGGATACTCCGGCTTCCTCCCAAAGACATGCATTTTAGGTTGATTTGTGACTCTTAATTGCCTGTGTGAGTGTATATGGTTGTTTGTCTACATATCAGATAGACTGGCGACCTGTCCAGGGTGTAACTCGCCTCTCGCCCAATGCCGGCTGGGATTATGTAGTGCCATACATATGAATGTATTCGCTCATAGATATAGTATGAGTCTATGTCTGTTTCCCGCTCTATTTCTCTCTCTCTCTCACACACACAAAAACGTGACAGGCCTTCTGTGAACAGCTCCTTCTCTCCATTTGTTTTTTAACAAAATGTGTCAATCACTGAGATCCACCTCTACTAATATATTATTAGCAAGCTAGTACGGCTAGCTAAGCTAATGTTAGAATACAGCCATTGCCAAGGTCAGCACGTTGTATATAGCGTGGATGTACACGGACAGATCTGCAAGTAGATAACGTTAATGCTAGTTCATAAAGTCTTGATGCTGAATGTTTGACACAATCAATCATGAATTATTAATGGACAAGTTAGAAAAATATGGGATCAGAGGATTGGTTTTGAATTGGATTAGAAGTTATTTGACACAGCGGCGTCAATTTGTGAAGTTGGGTGAATACCAATCGAGTGAGCTGGACATTGTATGTGGAGTGCCTCAGGGTTCTGTTTTGGAACCTAAATTATTTATACTATACATTAATGATATATGCAAGGTTTCTGATTTAGTGAAAGTGGTTTTATTTGCTGATGACACTACCATATGGGCATCGGG